TTTACAGCGTGCTTCTGTCTCCACGCTGTTGTCGCCCTGTTGATGACGTCAGCTACGCGGTTTAGTTGGACGCGGTTTAGTCGAGCGCGGTTTTGTGGTGGAATCAGATAAGAGATGTCTTAGCAGTACCTGCTGATTTCTTCATTCTTGATAAGCATCTGTTTTAGTTTAGTAACCATAACATGAATGCTTTAATTTCATACTTATACTAGGTGTAAGAAGTCCACTTAGAAACTCTCTGAAAACAGAATATGTTTAATTTCATGTAATATGTTTTTGTTTCATTTTAGGTTTTCATCAATTTTGCTAAAGCTCAAAGTAGCTCTGCTATTTCAGATGAAATCACTTATACCAGTTCAGAACCTTAAGGAAACACTTAACAGCTCTACTAAGCTTTATGCCAAATCTTCTTGACTCCTGTATTAAAGCTTTTCTTTGCAAGTTATTTTATGCATATTGTAATCTAGACCATGAATCCAGGCCCTTCCCTTTATATGAGATTGGTCTTTCACTTCTTTCTCAAGTTTTTTTTATACGTAAGAACGCATAACAGATACAAGTATATTTCTCATCATATATTTATAAAACTCTTTCCATGCTCCAACTCCCAAGAAATATATTCAGTGAAAAAGAAGAGCTGCTCTGTGTTAATGAATATAAGCCAAAAGATTGCTATAGAGAGAGATTATTACAATGTTAAATAAAAATATTTAAAATGACTGCATCATCTGTTAATTTCTAATCTTTGTTTAGCTCTTCGTAAAAGGAAATGTTTGTAAGGGTAGAAAAGTATGGAGATATATAGCAAATAGTTGGATAAAAGCTAGTTTTAAGAATATTTTCTTTCCTTTTCTTTAAATGTTTTAAATGTCTTTTTTTTAAATCAAATTTTAATTTTTTATATTCTTTATGCATATCACTGCATGAATGGTGTGGTAACTGGGTAACATACATTTCAGTACATATAAACATACTTTTATTATTCCTAAATATTACATTTCATTTCCATTGTTTCATATTATTTATACATATGTTTTATTACCACCCTTCCTTTCTGAACCATCTTTCTGTCCTTTTATGTATCTTAATATATTAATATATAATTATTACTTCCCCCACTATTTTCTATCCTTATTTTAACTTTTCCCCCCTTTCATATTACTATAATATTCAAAGATGTGTTTTCCAACTATTTTGTTGTTCATATTTCCTTAATTAAATCAGTTACATCCTTCATTCTTCCATTTTTCAATATCTCCTTATACAGTTTTAGCATCAATCATGATCATTTATACATTTAGAGTATTTCTATTCATATTCTTTCCAGTTCTTCAATCCATATAATTCTACTACTAATACACATGTTTGGATTAATATATATTTATATATATTTCCCTAATTGCCTATTGTTAAGTTCTAACTTTCCACTGTTATTCATATTTTTATACATATTTAGTAGTACAGTCATTCAAAATCTATTTTCCCATTCTTCATATCCATTTACATTACAATATTATTCTGATATCTCTCACACTGCTAAAATAATAATCCAACCTGTATAGTTCTGATATTAATACACATTATTGACATATATTCATAAAAATATTATTGTACTCTATTTTCCCTTATCCTTCATCTCCTACCTGCATCTGAATCTTTAATCTTATTTTCTTTTTAGTTTTTCTCCCATATTTGTCCCGTAGGTCTTTTATTCCCTCTGTTTGACTATGCCATCTAACTTTTCCTCCAAACTCTACCCTTTCCCACTGTCTAATTCCAGAACTCTCCATTCCGCTGCCTCTTTTCTCTTTTCCCCAGTTCTCTTCCCGTTTCTTCCATTCCCTTCCTTTTTAGGTCTTTTACATTATTCCCCTCCTTTTTTAGTTCCTTAAGCACTATTCGTATTGGCAACATCGCCTCCTTGTTATCTTCTTATTGCTGGTATCAGTTTTCCAAAACTTGATTGATTCACGATTCATGAGCCTTGGACCAAACTTCAAAGGAAAATTAGTTGTTTATTAGGAGCATTTATTTTTGGCAAGATCTTTTTTCAGTCAGATATAAGCTTTGTTTGAATTATATCTGAACTTTACACCTGTTCCTTCCCTCAGACTGTGCCATAAATCACGTTCCCCAATGAGGTGCACCACCTCCAAGCCTGCTGCAGTAATCTGAGCTGAAAGTATGCATAGAATGCACTCCCCCATCTTCTCTCACTATGACAACTTTAGGAATTGACATTCGGCTCTCCTCACTTTCCAAAAGCAACCTGTGCAAAGCAAAAACAATTTGAGTACAAGTATAGGATTTAAGGCTACGTTCCCCCCCCCCCCCCCCCAACCAGGCTTGTTTGGATTTTCTGCATGGAATTTTTCTATAAGGTGATCAGCCTGGATATTTCTACTCTTTACCCAAGATGCCTCTGACAATGGGTAGCCCTTCCACTTGGAGTTGTCTCCTCTGCCACCTCGAATCAAGGATTTGTTGCACCTCATAATGGGTTGCCCCCCTACGACCACAGAGCCTGGGGGCTCCTGGGGTAGTGGTCTTAGAAGAGATCTGACCACGGGTTTTAAGAAGCTACTATGGAATACCGGGTGTACCTTCCCTAGCAGTCGGGGCAGTTTCAATTGCACTGTGACTGGATTGATGATCTTTACTATGGGGAATGGTTAGATCCCAGATCCCACTCCATCCACTTTCTCCTCTCCAGCAGAGTCCTGGGTTTTCAGGCTGTCTCTGGCTTCATGGCAGCCATTTTGGCTGCTGCTGCTGCTGCTCCTTGTCTTCAGATGAGGGGGCTTTCCAAGTCAGGGAGGAGAGATGTGGCTCTCCTCGACCTGCCATGCAATCCCACCTTACTTTAGTACCCCTTCAGCGTGGCTATGGTCTGAAATTGGACCCTCTATAGCAATAGCAGTTAGACTGATATACTGCTTCATAGGGCTTTCAGCCCTCTCTAAGCGGTTTACAGAGTCAGCATATGGTCCCCACAATCCGGGTCCTCATTTCACCCACCTCGGAAGGATGGAAGGCTGAGTCAACCCTGAGCCGGTGAGATTAGAACCGCCGAACTGC